AGTCCCAGCTACTTGGGAGGCTGAGGCAAGAGAATCTCTTAAGCCCAAGAGTTTGAGGTTGCTGTTAGCTATGATACCACAGCACTCTAGCAAGGACGATATAGTGAGACTCTGTCTCAAAAAAAAATAAGACACTTCTAACAGACACAGAAGAGTATTTGTCAAATCCAACACCTATTTATGATTAAACTCCCAGCAAACTAGTAATACAAAGAAATCTTTCTAAACCTGGGAAAGGGACACTATAAAAGGTCCCTTTATAAAAGGACACTATATAAGGTAACATCCTTATAAAGGACTGGTCTTTGAAGTTTGGGAACAAAACCCTATTCATCATAGGACTAAAAATATTCACAGAAACTGTTAGAGATAGTGAGGGATATTCAGGCTCTATTAGGCTCCCTCTCCCTACCTGCTGCTGCCTAAACAAACTGCCCCACTTGGGAAGAATGATAAGGGTGGGCACTCAGTCTAGGTGCTACTCACCCTGATTCTGCCTCAAGCAACTGCCACACCAGGGAGAGATATGACAGAAGAATGCACAATAGGATTAGCAAAATCACCATCCAGCAAAGTAGTAGCCTTATTTAGCGGTGTTTATCTAAACCAGGAGAAAGGCCCATTCTAGACACTACAAAAAAAAAAAAAAAAAAACCCAGATTATATGCAGGGCCTCTTGTTACAACCAACATTAAGACCCATTCCTTGTCTGTGGTGAGGATATCCTGCTCTTGTTCTATAAACCTATCTTGCTCTTCCTCAAATAAATCTCCTTTTCTGCTTACCTTGCTTTCAGTGAGGCTGGTCATTCTTTATACCAAGAGCTGAGAATAGACAATTCCCCACCTGAAAAAAAATCACATAAAAATAATGAATAAAATAGTCCAAAGAAGAAAAGAAGTTGAATTGTATCTTTAATCAAAGCTGACATAAATTTACATATATAACTTTATAAGAAATTCAGTACAGGGGCAGTGCCTGTAGCTCAGTGGGTAGATGCTGGCCATATGCACCAGGGCTGGTGGGTTCGAACCCAGCCCCAGCCTGCGAAAAATAGCCGGGCGTTGTGGTAGGTACCTGTAGTCCCAGCTACTTGGGAGGCTGAGGCAAGAGAAT